TTAAATTAAACAATTTTTATAGGGCAAGTAAAAACTGACTTCGGGCAAGTGAAAAAAAACCTTAGCGTTGAACCCTGTCATAAGTTTGAGACTTTAGTGAAAAAGTGCCTGCCTTTGAGAAAAAGTTGGTCATTCATTTATTCATCTTCTACCCGTTTCATCCTCTTGAGGGTCGGTCTTGAGGCTGGAGCCTATCCCAGCTGACACTGGGTGAGAGGCAGGGTTCACCCTGGACAGGTCACCAGACTATTGCAGGGCTGACACATAGAGACAAACAACCATTCACACCTACGGACAGTTTAGAGTTATCAATTAACCTGCATGTCTTTGGACTGTGGGAGGAAGCCAGAGTGCCCGGAGAGAACCCACACTGACACGGGGAGAACATGCAACCCTCTTGCTGTGAGGCGACAGTGCTAACCACCACACCACCGTGCCGCCCAAAGTTGGTCATGTTAACAAATATTAATTGAACTTTGGATGGAAGAAAAAGTTGTTGTTCAGGTCGAGAAATATCCTAAACGAGCTAAACAACTCACAGCCCCATCATTATAAAAAGATATTGCTTAGTGAGTCGTAGCTCTGAAAATCAGCTCTTCAGGTGAGGAATCAAGTTTAATTAGGGGCTGTCCACACATGAATTTAAGCTAATGCAGAGGTGGAGGAAGTACAGATCAAAACAGTACTCAGTGAGTTAGATGCAAAAACACCAAATGTAGTATATAGGCTACAGTATACAGTCACATACAAAAAAGTAGGCAAACGGTACGTGTTTCATTCTGCTTTAGATTAATTATGCATGATTAGACAGTGTTTTGTAGCATTCAGTTAGCATAACATTAGCTATCTTATCTATGTCTTGTGTAGTTGGCATTAGCATACCTGCTAACCTCCTAATTTCATAGTGGTAAATCAAATGGGTGTTTCTGTGTGGGAAAGGTGTTGCCTGACTAGATTAGAGGACACTATGATCTCACTATAATCTCCTTCACACATTACACTTAATTATAATGGTACCCGCAACCCAATCTGGAGCGTGTATTGTTGACCTTCATTTTCCCCGCCCACTGCCTTTGTGTGTGACACAGTCGCATGTTTGCTTGAGGTGAGGGCTCGCATGTGAGGTCAATCAACATTGCTATTCCACTAGGCAGTTGTAAGATAGTTAATCTTGCCATGGTGATGTGCCGCCTCGATGTGTTTATAACAATGCAGAGATGCTAAAGACATTTCACACAGTTGTCTTTTGTTACATTACGACAGTCACACACTGCCTCATCCCTCACGCACACCTTACACCACTGATTCCACCGACAGTCCCACTCCACATCTCGTTTATGTTCAGTTATGTGCTGAAGTTACTTTTGTTAAATAAATAATTCTTTGTTAGACGCTCAGGTGAGGAGCAGAGCTGTCAACTGATCTCCAGGATCAGATGGTGGGAGAAAGCTGCCGGACAGACTTGGAAAACCCGAATGTGTAGTGAAGGTGAAGTGGGAACATCTGGCTGAGGCCCCTGAGACAGCAGACGAACGTCATTTGGTCAGAAAGGCTGCGGCTATGGTGCAGCCACAGCAAAAACGCAGGTGTGATGGTTGGAGGAGACTGGGGATGCCATGAAGAAGAACTTTTGGTTGACCTCGAAAAAGTTCTGTTGGTTTCATCAGACTTTGACCTCAAGCAAGCACTAGGCTGTTTGCAGCCATGTGTGAGGTGGTCGGAAAAGAGAGTCAGTACCTTTGAGTCTGAGGCCATGGTTCTCTGCCAGAAAATGGTGAATCACTCCATCTGGGTTGGTATTGCTCATGGGTGCTGTTCACAGGACAGGACAGTGAGGCACAGTGCTCTTTGCAGTAGGAATGCAAATACAGCGTTATCTATCAGACAGTGCCTATTGTACTGTATATAAAGGACACAAAGGTCTGACAATGCTTGAACAGCTCTTTGATAGATAAGTAGGCTTCCATGCATGAATGTGGTCGAGTGTCCTACAAACCGGTTCCATGAGGTGCTTTGCATTCAAAGAGACTTTATTTCTCAACATCAAAGCTAGAAAGGGTCCATGTCATTGGTCTGACAGCCCACTGGTCCGACATCCCATTAGTCTGACGGTCCGTGGTGCTGAACGGCTCCCGGCGGACGTATTTCTGCCTTGATGGTGCGCTGCGACCGGCTCTGGGTCAGCTGGGAAAGGCTTGAGGCGAAGCAGGCTCATGGCTTATGTGTTTGTCACTTTCTTTTTCATTTTAACCCACACCATGATCTTCTCCTAACCCTAACCCTAACCAAGTGTTTTTTGTGCCTAAACCTAACCGGACCTTAACCACAGGGCATCATGATGATTTCGGAACGGACTTCGGAACAACAATTCAACCACCAAATCCTAATCAGTACATTGTCTAGTCCAAGTGGATGGTTATGCCAAATTTGAAGACATGCCCTCCAGGTGTTTTTGAGACATCCCATTCACAAGAATGAGACAGAAGGGGTCACAGTGACCTTGACCTTTGACCTATAAACAACAAATTCTAATCAGCTCATTTTTTAGTCCAAGTGGACATTTGTGTCGAATTTGAAGAAATTCACTTCAGGTCTTCTTGAGATTTCGTGTTCACAAGAATGAGACAGTGAGACATGTCACAGTAACCTTGACTTTTGGACATTTGTGCCAAATTTGAGGAAATTCCTTTGAGGTGTTCTTCAGATGTCGCATTCCTGAGGACGGGACAGACGGATGGACTCACAGACAGATGACCTGAATACATATTACCTCTGGCCACAGCTGTTGCTCATGCAGAGTTATAATAAACTACCAAAACAAGACGATGCTTCAGTTACCTACTTTTGCTGAATCCGTGCTACTAGATGAAAACATTTTAACAAAAGCATTTTAAGTTTAACTTAAGTATTTGTGTATAACAATAAATATTAAGACGCTTGTTTTTTAAGAGCTGAACACAAAAACAAAGTGGTTGTGGTTGGACTAGATTAGATGCAGCCTCTCAACACAAGCAACACTCCCCAAACAGTCATCTCATTGCAACTCATATGTTGTTAAGTCTGGTTTGTGCAGAGACACACCCGCTTTAACCGGTGAGACGAGCACAGACAAAAGGAATTACAAAAACTGACATCACTTATGCAGCGTGATCAAGAGTATGGCAAGCTGATTATGAAGATTTCTGGGATTATTGTACTTCAGGCTGCCACACTCAACCTAACTTTATGTTTTTTTTTACTGAAATATTCTATTTCATTTACTAAACTAATAACTGCAAAGGAAAACAATATGTAACTTTGAACTCAAGTATTAGACTAGTAGGTTTATAATTATGTCTGTAGATTGATGTGAAATTAATAATACAGGCAAGGTGTGGGAGGTTTATTTATAGAGCACATTTCACACAGAAGGGAGATAAGGTGTTTTACATAATAAAATTTTAAACAGATACAGATAAGAAGTGTGGGCAGAGTGGGTGACAATGGACAATTTTAAAAACTTAAAATAGAAATACAAATGTTGTTGCAACATTTGTCATGTAAAATACAGACAAAGCCTGTATCACTGTGAAGCAATGCCAAGTCTTTCTGACACACCCCGTTGGCACTGATGCCGAACCGTCACCACGTCCTCCTTGGTTCTTCAGCCTGCCATTAATCAGTTCATTTCATTGTGAATATCTCACAGCTTCATCAACTGCAAGGTGTTTGTAGGATTACTTTTATTCTCTCACCTACTTGTTTTTTTCTCTCCTCAGGTAAGGGAAAAATGAAATCTATATGATATATTTCAGCTGATGGTGATGTACTGATTTATAATTGGAGAAAAAAAATGAAGGTAGCATACGATGCCTGTTGTTTTAATATGTTGAAGGCTCAAATGCTGTGATGAAGTTCTGATCTGATTCTGAATTACTGAGTTATTTCTGCGCTGTCATCGTCTAGTTTTCTGGCAAAGAGGCAACTAAAGTGTGGATTATAATTTGTAATGGAAGAAACTGGTAGAAGGTAACTTACACTTACAGTTTACATGCATGTCTGTGAAAACATGGATGTGTCACACATCCCTCCGACAGCGCAGAAGATCTACACAATCAGCACAATTTCAAGGTGTACACCCAAGATTAGTGTCAACAATTAATGTCTCCCCTTCTGTTCCTGAGATATGACATTGAATAATGGCCAGAAGGGTTTTAAGCAGAATATTATGATGTCACATTGAAGCTGACCTTTGACCTTTTGGATATAATTTGTCACCACTTCATTATTTTATCGAGTTTGACATTTGTGTAAAATTTCATAATAATTAGCAAATGAATTCTTGAGTATGGCCAAACCCTTGCTTCATGAGGTCACAGTGACCTTGACCTTCAACCTTTGACCACCAAATTCTAATCAGTTCATTGTTTCGTCCAAGTGGACGTTTGTGCTTAATTTGAAGAAATTCCCTCTCAGTGTTCTTGAGATATTGCATTAATGAAAATGAGATGCATTCAAGGTCACAGTGATCCTGACCTTTGACCTATGAACACCAAATTCTAATCAGCTCATCACTAGCATCAATTCCACCAAACACTTTCAGTATGGTACCTTTGGCACCAACAGTTACCCTTCAGACATGATACCTAGACCCTAGGTCTATTTAGCATTTCCACCGCAAACATTACAATTAAATGTGGGTGGGATTGTGGTCATTCAGTGCACCATCCAGCAATGACACCACTTATCACCCACCTACAATGTGGTCTTGGGATCCTTCCCCTGATGACTTAACACCCATACACACCTGGACCCATATAACTCTAATGACACATAATGACCAGGTGGGTCAATGACTCTGTAATGGTTCACACCCACACAGGGTTTAAAGCCTTCGACTCCGCAGCTCTCCATTAGAACTGAAGAGGTCTCTTGGATGAGAGGTGAAACATCAAGCAAGTCCAGTTGCCTACAACATAGTACTAATGATTACCATGACCTGGATGACTGAGAATCTTCACCAACATCCTCACAGCTCCACCTTTTAGTGCCAGATCTGTGCACCAGGGGTTAACAAAAATGGGGACTATCCACAACTTCTCACAGTGGAAATGGAAAAATGCATACTGAACTGAACTGAACAGGACTGCTTGGTGGAAACAAGTCTATAGAATCCAAGTGACATTTTGCTAAATTTGAGAAATTCCCTTGAGGTGTTCTTGAGATATTGTGGTCACAAGAATGAGACAGATGAGGTCACAGTCACCTTGACCTTTGGGAATTTGTGCCAAATTTGAGGAAATTCCTTTGAGGTGTTCTTCAGATGTCGCATTCCTGAGGACGGGACAGACGGATGGACTCACAGACAGGTGACCTGAATACATATTGCCTCTGGCCACAGCTGTTGCTCATGCAGAGTTATAATAAACTACCAAAACAAGACGATGCTTCAATTACCTACTTTTGCTGAATCTGTGCTACCAGATGAAAACATGTTAAAGTTTAACGTAAGTATTTGTGTATAACATTAACTATTAAGATGCTTGTGTCTAAAGAGCTGAACACAAAAACAAAGTGGTTGTGGTTGGACTAGATTAGATGCAGCCTCTCAACACAAGCAACACTCCCCAAACAGTCATCTCATTGCAACTCAAGTCTGGTTTGTGCAGAGACACACCCGCTTTAACCGGTGAGACGAGCACAGGCAAAAGTAATTAAAAAAACAGACGTCACTTATGCAACGTGACCAAGAGTATGACAAACTGATTATGAAGATTTCTGGGATTATCGTACTTCAGGCTGCCACACTCAACCTACCTTTATGTTTTTTTACTGAAATATTCTGTTTAATTTACTAAACTAATAACTGCAAAGGAAAACAATATGTAACTTAGAGCTCAAAGAGGTAGAAGTATTAGACTTGTAGGTATGTCATTATGTTTGTAACAGATTGTGAAATTGATAATACAGGTGAGGTGTGGCAGGATTATTTATAGAGCACATTTCATACACAGAGGGGAGATAAGGTGTTTTACATAATAAAAGTTTAAACAGATACAGATAAGAAGTGTGGGCAGAGTGGGCGACAATGGACAACTTAAAAAAAGAGACAAAACAACAATACAAATGTTGTTACAACCTTGGTTATGTAAAACACAGAAGAAGCCTGTATCATTATGAAGCAATGCCAAGTCTTTCTGACACACCCCGTTGGTACTGATGCCAAACTGTCAACACTTCCTCCTTGACTCTTCAACCTGCCATTAATCACCTCATTTCTTTGCTGATATCTCACGGATTCATCAGCTGCAAGGGGTTTTTCTAAATTATTTTTCTTGTCTCACCTGCCTGTTTTTTTTCCTCATTTATCAGGTAAGAGAAAAATGAAATCTATTTCACATTTCAAGAATTATTAATTAATTAATCATTAATTTAAAAAAAACTGAAGCTAGCATACGGTGACAAAATGTAGCCTGTTGTTTTAATATGTTGAAGACTCAAATGCTGTGATGAAGTTCGATTTATTTCTGAACTGTTGTCTGGCAGAACAAGAATACTTTGTTAATGTGGTGTCGTTTTATGGCAAAGAGGCGACTAAAGTGTGGGATTTTACTTTTAATAGAAGCAATTGATAGAAGATAAAACACTTAATTGAAAATTGAATTTCTAGGCTCATTTATTAACTGAATAAAGCTAAATATTGTGGCTGTAATGCTCACAGCACCCATGATTAAATATTCTCCCTTCGGTCACACACCGTTCTGCATGTAACCTGTTGAACCAGTTAAGCTGTTTGTGAGTATTTGCCTATAGTAGAGCATATACAAATATGTATGTAAAGTTTATTGCATGATATTTCCTTTGTCTTTTTTTTTACTCTTTGTTCATTCGTGTGTCAGTTTACACCCTCATGGAGACTTATGTGTTCAAACTGTGTACATATAAACAACACTTGGGACATGAATGTGTCACAGAACAGTAACAGCATCGAACACAGCAGTTAATTTGCTGCTTTATGTCATTTATTGATTTTTTTTATTGATTTTATTGTTATATTTTCATCTTTATTGTTGAACTGCTCTACAGGAGTCATATCACTTCATTAGAGTCAAACACAAGTCTCTCAAGCAGGCTGTTATTCACAACCCAACGCTGTGTGAAAAAAAAAAGTTGCTGGTTATAGATAGGAAAATACTTTGAGCTGCCCATGGGTTTTAATTCTTGTTTGATGTCTTATGTTATTTGGCTTTATATCAGGATTCCTGGGAATAACAGGTGTGGCTGCTCAAGTGACAGTGTCATGACGGATCCGTAGCTGTAAATGTCAGATGTGTTTCTATTCCAAATATCAGAGGACATACACAGCAGCCAGTCTCTTCCTCTGGCACAATGCTGTTCTCTAATGACATGTTTTTCACATTCATGAAACGACTCACCTGTGTCCCTCATGTTTTGTGTCCGCAGCTCGGCTCTGATCTTCCTCGAGGAGTGTAATGCTGCCGAGATGCTTCAATTGTTGAGGAAAAAAAAAATTATCCTCTACCTACTGTGCATCGTTGGCATTGGACTGTTCGCCAGATCTACATGGAAGCTGTCTCCATTTTCCTTTCACGGCTCAGGTCCTTGTGCCTGTTCCACATGTTTAGTGGAGGGGGATCTGAGGTTCAGGGAGCGTATGACTGCATGTCCTCAGCCCTTTCTGACAAATAACTTAACAGTCACAGAGGAAACTTTCAACTGGTGGAAGGTAAATGTCAACTTTTTTTTACAGATACAAATGTTCTGCTTCTGTTTCACTGTTAATCGTTTCAGACACTCTGATTGGTCCTGCAGCAAAATCAGGAACTGCATTAACACTGAAAACAGCAATAATCAAACAATAAATATATATATATTTTTTAAGAAAAATGTATCAGAAAAAAATGTGAAAGCAGTGGAACAGTGTGAAAAGGGTTGCTCCTAACCCCCTACCCTAACCTAACCCTAACACACCCACTGTCGGTCTGTCTACATTTATATGCAGATATGTTTATGGAGGGTGCAGCCACCAAATATACAAAAACTGTCATTTTATTCAATAACTACCATTCTCCAGCATTAAAGGAGAACATTTCCATGGCCAGAAAGTTCAATCAGTATTCATGAACATGAGCTATTTGCTCTCAAAGCCAAAAACAAGAGAAGTAAGTCTTGAACTTGTGATGTCATCAAGTATAAAGTCTCCATAGACAATGAATGAGAGACTCATTTTGTGACCCACAGAATGTTCTCAGTGCTGAAACAGAAACTGTTCTCATATATTCAGAGCATTCCCCTGGGTGCTCTCAGTTTCATCTAGAACATCTTTCACCATTCATTGTCTATGGAGCAGGTCCACACTTTATACCCTATGACATCACAAATCTGAGTTTTAGCACTCTAGTTTTTGGATTTGGGAGAGAGTTGTTCATGTTAACTAATATTTTTGGATTGTCTTAGACCATAGGAATAACATGTATGAGTTTCTAAAATGGCCGTAGTTCCCCTTTAATACCTGAAATCAACTGGACAGGACTGGAGTTGTTAAAGTTACAGTAGTGGCTGGACTGGAAGTCTAAGTGGCACATGATGCAGTTGCCTTGCAACCAAAAGACGCCTTGAAACGTTTGTTCAATCCATGTTGGCCCCTTCTGTTCTTAAGAATAGGTAATCGGGAGTAATTACAGACTTAGTCTACTGCACAAAGACTCGTACCTCATGAGATCTGGCTGTCAAGGCCTTGAAGAGTCACCTGAGATCCAGTGCCTTGAAATAAACAGCACTTTATGGACATATTACAACTGACTTGTTCTGAGTCTGAACGACTTTTGTACAGTTTCCACAAGGAATCTGCTTTGTAAAAGATTGTCATCTTACACTATGGTCCGTGCTTAGCTTTTGTTAGCCAAACATACCAGACTACAAACAGTAATCAATGCAGATCGCGTTGCTTTCATTACGTGCAAATGAAAATGTTTAAAATGGAAGGCAAAAAAAATAAAAATTTGGACCATCTTAGATGTACAAGTTTTGACACGTGACTTTTAAAAATGGGCGTAGTTAGCCTTTTAAAGGGCCAGTGTGTAATATTTGTCATGGTTTATTGTCAATCTGAATCTGAATCTGAATATTCTACCCATTAATATGTTTATACAAGTGTATAATCGCTATAAAATAAAATTTGTTTGGTTTTCGTAGCCTTATAATTATGCTTTTATATATATATATGTAGCAAGGGCCTTGCTTTAGAGAGGTCGCCATCTTGCGCTGCCATGTATGTACGGCAGACAGAGCAGACAATCCAGCCAGCCAGAGAACGCGTTTCGCGTGTATAAATTAACCAACGAAGACAGCGGAAGGAAGGAAGAAGGAGGAGGAAACAGCAGAGAGTGTTAGCAGTTCGTCGATAGAGAGTAGTGAAAAGTTTTTTTAGTTATAAAGTTTGCGAATGGACCACACTTACCACGCAACAGGAGAGAATGAACCCGAACCGTCATCTGCGAGGAAAAGAAGACGCAACTTCACTCCTTGTGATGCACTCTCTGCGGCGCTTTTCCTCCTGATGATATATCTCCCCAACGATGGTAGCAGTAGCACCGAATCCCATTCTGTGCATTCAGCCTCTCTTCTCACCCGCTCAGCATCAAACACATGGAGTTCCTCATCTGTATGCTCCGGCTAAAACAGGTATGGCTCTGGGTCTGTGTCCGCTACAAGAAACTCTTCAAAATCGCGTTCAAAGTCGTCCATTGCAGCAGAGAGGGGAGGGGGGTCCCCACTCGGTATGGTTAACAAGTGTGTGTATGAAATGTGTGTGTTACGCTAGAAGAGTCAGAGTTTGGGACGGAGTCTTTTACCCCCTGGAGTGTTACTGGAGTTTTTGGAGTGCTCAAATAAATGGGCCTTTTTCCCGAACGCTCCTCTGGTCTCCTGCTCGTGAGGGATTCATTACAATATCGTAACATGGTTTAGATTTCTAAATAAACATTCACCTCGTCGCTAGATAGACCTACTCCTGAAAAACTCGTGTGCAAGGCTTTTTGTCCCTACGAGGCCACCGTCATTTATCCGACAGGAGGTGTGAGCGAGTGAGCCCTGCAATCTAGAATTTGACCACTGATGTCACTGGTTTCAACCCATTTCACACACTGGCCCTTTAAAGCCAGTGGCTACCAGGCATTAACCAAAAGGAGAATTAATAATAGTACAAAAAAAGAAGATGAGACGGTGACTAATGCATATGGTGACGTTGTAATGTTACAACATTCAACACGTTTCACTAACAAAGCTCTAAACCTGAAGTAGCTAACTAATCTAGTGGACCGGCTCTATAGCGGATCATCCCGGAATTTTTTATGCGACAGTTGAACAATTTTGGCTTCATGTGCCACTGAGCAACTTTCATAAAAATTAACATGGGCCCCGCCTCCAACGCTGTATCCAGTTCTCTTTATACATGCATAGTTTGAACCCGCTGTACACTATCTGCTCAGCACCAAGCAGCAGAGAAGTGCTGTTGAACTCAGTGGAGTATGTTAGCATCTAATGAGATAGATATTTCTCTCGGGACATTGGTGGGGACCAAAAATAGAGCTAAAAGAAAATGCATATTGGACTTACATTCATCAGGTGGACACAAACACACCTCAACATGAATGCTAATATTGCTGCTGGACGTAACACTGTCCTAACAAGTTCACCATGTCAACTTAAAAGGTGACAATATGTTAATTTAAAAAAAAACATCATTAAGATTTCAATCCTGGTTTGACTATACTGTGGTTACTGGTATTAACAGCAAGGTAGCCTAATATACACTGTCTAACTTGACAGCACATTGCAGTTTCTCCTCCTTGCTTAATTACTTCCTGTAATATTTAAAACTGTCACTGTTAAAAAAATGCCAAAGTCATTGCATTTCCTGTGAGTGCTTCACAATAAGAGCGACCCATTATTTGCCTGTTCAGGTCTGATATATGATTGATTTGTAAACTGGTGCTGGAATAATGTTCTTTTCCTGTTCTTTGTGTCAGCGCATGCAGTCAAGAAGACCCAACTTCACTCTCTTCAAATCAGCACTGGAAGACGTATTTGACGTGGTCCCACACATTCCAAATGTTACGGTACTAGAACCCAGGCCTGACCGCTGCAGGACTTGTGCTGTGGTGGGGAATTCTGGGAATTTGCTGGGATCACACTATGGACCTCTCATAGATTTCCATGATATTGTCATAAGGTTAGTCATTACTGCTGTCTTTAGAAAACGAGCTTTAACAATGATGTTGACACAAAGACAAACTGAATATTTTTCACTTGCAGTTTAACAACAGGATTATGTCAGAGTCTAGTAAATGGGTGTACTGTGTATGAAATGCTGGAGGGCTTTTAATTTGAAATGATGACTTTTAATTTGAAACAAGACCTGGCAGCATTCACCTTACATTTCATTCACTGTACAGTTTGCATACAGTCTCTTTCAAAATAAATGCACTGCATCGAGACAACATTTGGTTTGGTTTGAGAAAAAAAGAATAGGGATTGGCTTTACAATCTTACGGCAAGGTGAAAGTCGGTGTTTGTTGGACCCATCCACCACCCCTTCCACCTGCCCCACTTGGACATCCATGGCCTTAACTTAAGTTGTTGTCCCATATCGTCCCCTCCCGTAACGTAATGTCAACATTAATCACCACACCATTTATTGTTCTTTAACTACATGATATTAAATACATATTCCCCTGTATCTTTCAGGATAAACCGCGGCCCTACCAAAGGCTATGAAGCAGATGTTGGGACTAGAACAACTCATCGTGTGATGTATCCGGAAAGCGCTGTTCCTTTGGACAACAACACTCATTTTATGATGTTTCCATTCAAGAGAAGTGATTTCCAGTGGCTCATCAACAGATTAATGCCAGGGTGGGTGTGTAAAAAAAAGCTGATATACCTATGGCAAGCAATTTTAGCATTAAATCCAACCACACCTCTATCTGTAATTACATTTTAGATATCCATAATAGCATTTCTCCTTGCTAATTATAGATATCAACAATTTGCTTGTAGAAATTAGAAAAACTTTGATTGTACTAGTCAAAAGTAAATTAAATATATCTTTAGATCCTTAAAATGTATAAGCAGCCATTATAACATTTAATAGCTAGACTGGATATGTATTGCAGATATCCCTAATTCAATTCTTTCTAGTCAAAATGAACAGTTCAGATATTCATAATACATTCTTTCGAGGACAAATTATGTCAATTTTGCCATTTATATGTGTTGAGCTTTCAGTTTTACATATCCACAATGTCATTTTTGATGTCAAGAATAAATATTCTGGTTATCAGCAATATAATTCTTACAAGGAATAATCTGTGTTTTAAATATCCAAAATGAAAAAACAAACATTCCAGATATCCATAATGTAATTTTGAATATCATAAACACATTGTAACCATTATGGATATCTACAGTTAGCATTACAACAAGGAAAAATGCAAATTTCAGATAGCTATAATTAGAATTATGGCTATTAACAACTGGATTATAGATATCTAATTCTATTGCAGCACTCTGGATATCTAAAATGACACTGTGGACATCTAAAATTGAGAGCCCAAGATCCATCCAACAAATATAAGTAAGCAAATAATTTTGCGCTTTAGCTGCTAAAGCTAATCGCTAACTTTGTCAGAGTACTTAATGCCCGCTGGACCCACTGGAGCTGTCCTTCAGTGGGGTTTAATGATGTAGCCTCCTTGAAATTTAGCCATTTTTTCCTTGACTTTGAGAAACACCATCTGTCTCAGCACTCTTACGGGATCTCGCAACAACTGATATGATTTTGTGCACAGTTAATATCAGACATTAAGCTAGCAGATAAAAATGAGCAGCAAAATAAGGTGTAAACATTCAATTTGTACTCTCTATAGTTGTATTATTTTGAGTCTGCTTTGATCCATTTGATTCACCTTGTAAATTGTCATCATTTGTTACATCTTTGGCATCATCAGGGGAAAATACTGTGCATCTCCCAACATTAGTGGTTAGTTTACCCCGTTCATTTGCCGCAAAGGCGTACAGGGGCAAGATCTCTGTTCATCCAACACATATGCTATTGTCCCCAGGGACGATGTGACACCGTTAGCCTTGACTCTCGCTTTTTAGCCTGTGCAAAATTTATGTGACACAACAGAAAAACATCGGCCACTGCAATTAGTTTATGTCGTTTTATATGCCGTTAGCAGTCAAGAAGCTGAATATTGGCTGATACTGTTATTATTACTAAATGATACTTGGTAATCAGTTGATTTTCCACTAAATGATGTAATTACTGTTACCTTCAACAGGGAAAATGGGAAGAGAAAGGCGATAGCTAACAAGAATTTGGTGAGTATGTTAAATGATTTTGAAAGGATCTAACAAATCTGATAAGTCATCCAGTAATACAGGAGTCAGTATAAAGGTTAAGTCTGATTCATAACAGGTGATGATCCTCAATCCAGCTTTCATGAAATATGTTCATGAAACCTGGCTGTTGAAGAAGGGAGCCTATCCATCCACTGGCTTCCTGACTGTGGCTCTCAGCCTGAAGATTTGTGATGAGGTGAGTACACAATATACCAACAACTCCATGTTGTTTCACTGATTGACAGCTGGTGGCAGCAGCGCACTGAGAAATAATGATGCGCCAGTGATGGCAAAGAAGAAGACGACTGCTGGGCAATAACTAAACATTAATGCAAGTTTCGAAATGTTCAAAAAATCATCAAATTAATACAAATATATTATGAGAAAAGAAATGTGTTTGTATTAGGAATAGCTCAACATTTCAGAAGCCTGCTAGCTTAGCATGTTAGCTTAGATTCGCAAGAAAAAAGTCGAGGATAAATTGTCCAAAATGCAAAGTATGCATTTGAGGTTGAGAACAACAGAATATTCAAAAGGCATATTGGTCACGCACCATCCTGTGCTGGTGTCAGACGGTGGGTCGCTGCTGCTGCTGTCTCAGTGACTGTTTAATGGTGTTCATTATGTCTTCAGTTTCTGATAATGACTTTAGCTGTTCTTTTATCTCAGACATGTATTAGGATGTTACATACCTTGACATGTTTTGGCGGAAACTTCCGCCTTCCTCAGAAGTGTCACTTGGTGGTGGTTGTGACGCGTCTTTATCAGCTGATCTGTCAGTCAGACAATCAGAAAAAGACGCGTCACAACCACCACCAAGTGACAAGGTATGTAACATCCTAATACATGTCTAAGATAAAAGAACAACTAAAGTCATTAGTCTCATTGACTGATGAACTGGTGCTGGTTGTTTATATTATTGTGGCGTATTGATTATGAATATTAATTATGAATACAGTCCATCTGATGCTGGTTTTGTTTCATCCCTGTAGCCAGTGTCTCACTATCACTATCCTCATTCATATTTTAAGAAGCTACAAATTATAGTCTGAAAAGCTGCAAATCAGAACGGAAGTGCAGAGAGTTGTTGCATAGCGATGATACACCATCTCATCTAGTTGCATTGGTGTGAAATGTTTTTTTTTTTTTAAAGATATTTTTTTGGGCATTTTTGCCTTTACAGATAGGACAGTTAAGTGTGAAGGGGGGAGAGAGAGAGGTAATGACATGCAGCAAAGGGCCACAGGCTGGAGTCGAACCCGGGCCGCTGCGGCAACAGCCTTGTACCTTGCACCTGCTCTATCCACTAAGCCACCGACTCCCCGTGTGAACTGGTTTTTTGAATGCTGCAGAACGGCACGTTGCAAGTAGTTTCCTGTTTCAACTCGTCTTTGTCGTGAATCTTTGGTCAAAACCGGGTTTTAAAGTATGCAGAAATTAAAAAAAAAAAAATAGTACATAACAAAAATGTTTATTGACAACAACCCTATAAGTAAAATCCAGCTGAGATTCATGGTAATTTTTTTTGCTTTCCCAGGTCAGCGTTTTTGGGTTTGGAGCAGACGCGGATGGAAACTGGAACCATTACTTTCAAATTTTCAAAGATAAACATTTCAAAACTGGTGGTCATCCTGGAGATTTTGAATATGGAGTTATTGAGCAATTACACGATTGGAAGGTGATCACTTTTTTTAAAGGATGGGAACGAAGATGAGGCCTTTGGCTGCCAGACCCCAACTGATGATGCACCAATGGGACCAATTTGAACAGCACCTCCTTAATGGACATGGAAAGCCTTTTTCAGACAGTGAACACGTGACATTGGCTTCACTTTGTTGGTACACTGATGTTTTCATAGGTGACTTTAAATGTTCAGGACATTTACAGACAGTACGGTGTACCTGCAGGATAGTTGCCACCTGCTGCCTGTGTGTTTTGGCATTTTGACGTTGAGGCCTTAATTTCTCCAGGTTCTCTAATGTCCCTAAATAAATCTTCCCCGTTAAGGTGGAGCTATCAGATCACTGCAAACATGGTTTTAGTGTGTGGGCATCCAAGAGATGGTGTTTTGTATTTTAGATTCCTGTGACAATGTTGACTTCATAATTTGACCTCATACTTTGTTTGGTGGATGTGGGGAGAGTTGGCAATTACTAAGCAATATATATCACAACTAATATTATTATAATTATAATAATTTACTTACCCATGCAGTTAGCATGAAAAGAAGTTTATAATTAGGATAGGATATAATTATTGTGTTCGTATTTTTGTTTTTGTATTTTTGTTGTTTATGTCTTTTGCCACTTCTAAACTGGTGCAGTGCCAAATCCAATTGTTTACTATCACAGTAAGACACTGTGTCTCTGTACAGATGTATTTATATTGTGTGTTGTTGTATGTAAATGTGAATATTTCCCTTTGGGAGACAATAAAGTCCACGATCTCTATCAGTGTATCTAAAAGAGTCCCTCCACGTGTTTTAAGACAGGTAGAAATACAACACGTTCTCATCCCAACTCATCAAGCATTGCTGCTCGGTCTGTGGACTTTTGCGTCTACATATGATGTGCTAGGCATCTTCCTGCGTCTGTTGCTGACATGCAGGACGCCGTGTCAATTTACGCCTGTTACCTGCATTGTGTCACAGTTTTTTTCTTGTGTAACAAAAGCACGTGGTTAGATTTAGAATAAAACATCATGGTTTGGCTCAACATTCACACTGGAAGCAAACTGCAGGCTCCCCGGGTGAAAGTCCAAGGTTTGTTTGACCCATCCACCTCCTGAGAGAGACACTCCAGCTCCTTATATGTCATTGTTACCAGCAGCATTACAAACCAGATATATCTACACATGAATCTGAAAATTTAGAAATCTGCTAAATTATAGAAAAATTAAGAGATTAAAGACAATGACATGATTATCTTCCTTTTTTCAGTGTCACGTATCAACTGTGTTAAAGTTGTATATGCCATAAAGTAAATTACACCTTTGACACGTCTATGAACACAGGTGATGCTTCAGGCTTTTATCCTGTGACGACATGAGACAAGATTGACACCTGCTGACAGTCTCTGTACATTACAGCTACCACCGTCATGCTCACTACACTGCACCTTCTGTTGAATCATAGGGACGTCCAATTAAACCTGCTGACCAACAGAATAATCAGAGCATTAATTATTTCTGGTCATTCTTACCCTTTAATAGAAAGCCTTCCCTACACCTGGGCATGAGTTTGAAAGATGAAGGCCAGTGCTTTGGGATCGTGACCCATACCCAACTAAAATCAGGATATCGGAGCCTTTGTACCATCAACATTTGTCCTGTTTTCTCATACAATTCTTTATTTCCCATGCTTGTCATCCTAGTTTAGTGTGTTCGCATGCTAACATCTGGTACATACAGTCCTTAAAGTAAAGCAGAGGCTGATGGGAATGTCAATAGTTATGCAGGTATTTTGTCATAAACCAAAGTACTGGACAAAGTAAGTATGGGTCAAGGTTACTGGGACAAAGTAAGTATGGGTCAAGGTTATTGGGATTCATCTTCTGGGGGCTGTGAACATCTGTGCCAAACTTTATGGTAATCCATTTGATAGCTGTTGAGATATTTCAGTCTGGACAGAAGTGGTGGACCAACAGCTTTGGCTAAAAAACAGAGGGTGAAAACAGCCACACTGCAGCTATTCAACTATTTACACCCATTCCTGTTGTAGTAGTGTTGGCTGGGCCACCTTAAAGGCCAGTCCACCTTAAGTGAGCGTGATCAGGTTTGAATGGGCACCAGGTGTAGCTCATTCATGCTACTCTACATACACACCATGCAAAGCCTCAGGCTGCAAACACACTGCTCCTCATTCCTGTGGTGAGTTATGGAGAAGTGGTCATTCAAGCTGTGTTCTTTGTTTCACTCCCTGAGTTTGATGTCTGATGTTAAAGAGATGAACGCTTGTTCCTGCCCTAAGTGAGAGCTGATTTAACCCATTTCATGACTGTTAAGGTAAAACACGACACTCTTTTAATACCCCTGAAACTCTACTTTAATCTACATAAAGGGGTTTTTGGTTAATTGTGTTTCTCCTCCTATATTAACAGTAGAAATGAGGGTTGAGGCCTGTTCAGGCATAGGCCTAGCTCCCTAAGTATCTACTCCTATTGCACAGTTGAGTGATTGCTGTGTTTTCACCTTGCGCTTTATCTTTAGTTTTGTGTGTCTGTGTGTGTGTGTGTAACCTCAATCCCCCTTTTTCTTCGCATTGTACTAGTACCTCTTAACTTACACAGCCACCTTTTTGTATGTTTGGGCTTTAGCTCTTCCTCGTACTGCCATACATGTTTTCATGATTGCAAACAATTCTTAGATCTGGTTTTTAGTTTATACTTTCGGTGTACTCCTGATGCTGGTCCCAAGCCCGGATAAATGGTGAGGGCTGCGGCAGGAAGGGCATTCGGCGTAAAACTTGTGCCAAAACAATAGCTGTGTTTCCATCCAGAAGTGATTCGAATCATTGGGAAATGCGCATTAAAAGAAATACGAATCCTATGTGTTTCCATTAAATGTACGGACTTTGGTGAAAACTACGAACTCGCACAAGTTTTCCGCAGAACCGGAAGCAAAACAAGTTTCACATTCTTCTTCTACGTTTTCTGGCAGTTGGCAACCAGCTTGTAAATGCATTACCGCCTTCCCGACCCGGAGTGTGGATATCACCATGGAGAGAGGTGCGCTACGTCAGACTTAATTCGAACATAACTGTTTCCATCCCCCGTTTCGCGAATCAACATTTTTTAAAAACAACCAAAACCCGGCTAAAGCGAGCGTATTTTAGTTTGTGCGAATAAGGGGATTTTAATTCCAATTTTGGTGTTTCCATCATAATTTTCCGATGCGATACTTCTAGATGTGCATCTAAACAGGCTGATGGAAACATGGCTAATGATGCGGAAAACAAACATGTTTCAAACCGCCTCAGGGTGCTGATGGAAATTGGACGACTGTTGGTTAAGGAGGACATGGAGATGGTTGGTGTAACAGAAGAGGAAGCAGGGCATAGGGTGAGATGGAGGCAGATGATCCGCTGTGGTGACCCCTGAAGGGAGCAGCTGATAGAAGAATTCAATACACCTAATTGATTCTTCTTGGAAACCTTGTCTCTGCTGTTCCTTCATGTTTAATTGGTTAAATGACTGTATGAAATGGTCCCAGTCCCCACTCTCTGGTCACATTATGACACGTTATTATGGATCCCACTGCGTACTGTGATTAGCCAACTCATCACACTGAGGTCAGAAGCAGTTTGGATTGGAACAAAGAGGCCATAGTTAGGGCTAGTACGAGCCAATCTCAGATTCTCAGAGATTTAAGTGGTAAATTTATGAGAAAACTCAAATGTACTGCCAGAGTCAGGCGATGTAGAATAGTGACACAGTCCATTGAGAGAGCAAGATGTGGTGGATGAACGGATCGAGCACAGGATGATAGACTAGGGTTAAAGTTCTGTGTGGGTCAGCCATTGGTTTAATACTACTTTTAGACTTATTCAAATTTTTTAGGATTTATAAAGCCACTAAATTCACACTGTATACATAAACTTCAGAATAGCAGAATAGCTAAATAGAGTGCTGCAGGGATGATTTTCATTTGTAGGCCTATACGGAAGTTAACATCTCCTTGGTTCCCTCCAAAGAAAAACATTTTGGATCATTGCAGAGAATAATAACTGTGGCAAACAAGTTTATGAAACTCACACATTTTGTTCAGCAAGATCATCTTCACAAATTAACACCACTTAAATCAGTTTTGAAGCTGAAATGCAATTGCCAGATGTAAAAAGCTAACGTTAAGCTAACAAACTACACCGTGGTCGCATGACTTAGACATCACCACCTTAACAAGACTTGGCGTGATTACCATCTGTAGTCTCATTTAGCCACTTGTTAGCAGCTGCCTTTTTTAGGAAACCAAAAACTGTGGTGACTGTTACTTCCCCACAGGGGGTCGAGGGGAAGGAGGGGAGTAACACGGTGAAATGGAGGGAACTTTGAAAAAAAGAGAGGCAAGCAAAACAAATCACCAGTTTAGAGGAAGTTTATTGAAAGTGAAAACAGGAAAAAAGGACCAGTGAAAAACGAGCTCCAAAAGGGATCCAGATCACCTGTAGCAGGGACACACGTAAGTCTTAGAGACACGTAACTGTCACGGCAAACTCAGCTGAAAACTGTTGCTATTAGAAAAACGAGTAAAAAGTAAACACCACACCCAGGCAGAGTGAAAAGGGATTCACTGCACTGCCTCCGTGATGAGCCACCACTGTTTGCATTAAGAATCTACAAGAGGAAACAGGATCTCAGTGGTTCGTATTGGCCATGGTGGCCGCAAAGATTAAAGTCATCTTGCTGGCTTAACCTTCAATGTCAATAAAGAGTGAAACCAATGTTTCTTCAGACACAGGCCTGCTGATTTACAGCCACTCACAGGAACCTGTTTTAACTCTTATTGTAGGTGCATCCCATAGATCAGAGGTTGGCAGCCTGCGGCTCTGGAGACATATGAATCGCTTTAGTCCGTCTCCAGTGGCTCTCCGTGGCTTTGATGAAAATTAGTTTGTTTTTTTTTAACATATCAATTTCTTATATTCAAGTTTTAACATTTCATCAACTAAAATGTGCATCATACATCCACAGCCTGACGCCTTTTTCACTAAATTTTGGACTAGCAATTGATTTCAAATCCATAAAAGTATAGGTCTCAGATGAAAATAAAGAATTTAAAAGTGTGTGGACAGATTTGTTTGCTTTCACCGCCAACGCTGCAATGTTAACCTGCCAAATAATCATAAATAGCACACTGCAGAGGAGCCATGTTGAGGTAAAACATATTTGAATGCTCATTTAGACCAATTATTAACGTTGATAGGCTAATTTAGACGTAATACTCAGTGTTACCATGAGGCTCAAATATGTTCTGCAGCTTCAGCTAGATTTTTTGAAATTATTCTTGGTCAAAAACAGCTCTTTAGATAGTTAAAGTTGCTGATCCATGCCATTGGTGTATGGTAACGTTTTCACTTTTATCTCACTGCACCTCACATGTAGCCCGTCCACATACCAGCATGTATCTCCAGAATAACTTCCCTGATCAGATAAAAGAAGAGGTGAAAAGTTGTGTTCAAATATTTGATAGTATCTGTTATGATTGCAGGATGTTTTGGTGAACCCAGTGTGCTGCCTGAGAGACACTGCTGAGCAAACAGAAATACAAGTCTGACATCTAGTGGTGAATATGCAGCATGTGCAGCAGTCAGACTGCATGTTGGAAAGCAAGTCTTCAGCTCGTAGCACAGTCAGTATCTTACATGGACAAAAAGTAATTTCATGATGCAAAATTTGGATGAATACTTAATATAAATAATATTTAAAAGTCAAGATATGTTGATTTGTTTAGGTCCAAAAAGCTTTTTACTACTTTTCCCCTTGA